ACCAAATTATGGCCTTCAATGCCAAATGATTCACCAAGTAAGAAAGATGGAGAACGAAGGCAAAGAGCAGGGGCRTACAAGGCTCTTTATAGTGTAGTCCAACAGATGCACCATAAATTTTGTCACGTATACCTTCTTCCTAATATGGTAAAATGTGCCGAGCTCTGAAGCTGGAAACTAAGAGACATCACATCTGTGCATTCCTGAGAAGAGGCCCCCCACTCTTGGACACTACAGTAGTATTTTGCTACTTTTAGTACTGGAAATTTTGGGGGAAATGGATTAATGTATTAATTAGCTCATTAGTTTTAGGAGAAAATGATCATAAAATGCTTGAGAGTAGACCAAGTCAGTCAGTCTCTCTATCCTTGTGGGGACTTTCCATCGACTTCCATTAAATATTTTTGGTAATTTTATATCCTAACCCTGACCACAAACCCTAAGGCTAACCTCACAGGTACCTTCCTGACCCTAAAACTAACCGAAACTCAATTCAGACCTTGGTCCTAAACCCAACCCTCAACCCAAAATCAGCCTCCGAAGTCATGGGGACCCGGCTCTGGTCCCCACAAGGCTGCATTTTCCTGAAAAATCGTCTCCACCAAGTAGCAAAAACACCCACACACATACACAGTTGATGGTAAACAAGACTAACTCCTGTAATCAGTCCTGATTTTTCTCCACAGGAACATTCGTTGATCCAACATTTCATTTTTTTAACAAACTAATCTGCCTGAGCAGCTGTGATGATCTGAAACCTTCCAGAGGACACGGAGACGATATCGTAGATGAACTCGTCTCTGCTCTGTCTTCTTGCACCTAAATTTGGCTGATGGTGTTTTTTTTCCTGCCAGGCTCTCATGGCAGCCGTATTGTTACACCACGCTCAGTTTCTCCCAACAACCAAATGTGAGGCATCTGTGTTCTGTGACTGCTAATGTGTTCACTGTGACCGAGTGAAAAAACAGAGCTTCACAGCGTTAGAGACCGACAGCCATCTTCAGAAAACTCATTCAGGCTTTCATTATTTAAAAACAGCAAACTCTGCATCCTGCCTGGTAACCAGCAACGATGTCATCACAAACAAACATCTTTCCTTCAATTAAAAACTGGAAGTTTTAGTGAAGCCGCTGTTTGATGTCGGTGATGCAATCAGGAAGTAGTACTTTGAAAGTTACCTTTAGATTTAATGGGCGAATACATCTGTAAGTCATCTGCATAACTGTGAAAAAAAGTGGCATCTGGTTATAACTGATCCAGGGTGCAGTATATGAAGAAAAAATAAAGGGGACCAAGAACGGAGCCCTGCGGTACACCAGAGACAACTTTCTCCAGGCACGCACACCGATACAACTTTTGCAAGTGGGACCAAAAAAAGCTGGAAAAGGTTTGAGGTAAATAAAACACCTCCAAACTTGATGTGTGCAGATTGAAGCATCGGCACACTGCGGGGAGATTTTAGACGGGAAGAAAACCGAAAAAGGTCACAATTTTAAAAACAGTCCGATTTTTAGGCTCAAACGGAGCGTTTGTCTTTCTGTGAGATGGATCCAGATCTGATTAGTTTGCTTCTGCTCGCTGAGGTTCAAGTTCAAGTTTATTTATATAGCACCAAGTCACAACATACGTTGTCTCAGCTGTACATAAAAAGAACAATGTAACGAAGAAAGCAGCAGATTGTGTTGAATCACTTCATCACAGTCTCCCATCCTGAGCAAACGGTGGAGAGGAAAAACTCCCTGCTAATCAGGAAGAAACCTCCAGCAGAACCAGGCTCAGGACAGGAGACCATCTGCCTCGACCGGCTGGGGTGGGGGACAGGAAAGAGACGCGGGCAAACACAGGTCCACTACTGGTCCAGGTGCACCTTCTTCAAAATATGAAGGGTGGAGGAGGGGTGGTGGTAGGTTGACTGTCAGCTGGCATGCAGACGGGACGATTGAGATGACTGGCTTTTATTCACTGGCAGACAGGAGCTCATTGGATGTGGCTGGGCTTGAAACAAGGAGATCGGCAGGAGCAGGTGAGGCTATTAGTCTTCCAGAGTTGAACTTTCATTAAAACTCCATAAGCACAGGATTCCAGCCAACAACCAGGTGAGACCCTAAACCCAGAAC